AAATAAGATAAATTCCAGATTTTATATCATGCCTTCACAACTCTTTTGAAGTCTCGGGAATGCTGCAAAAGGCGTTTTAGAGGGAAAAATCGGAAACATGATTTTTTTGGGGGGAGGGGCATGGCTCCGGACCCCTTAAGAGCTCGTGCCAGAGGTACGGGGCCGTAACTCGCCTTCCACACCATTGGCGTTAAAGGTTACTACAATAGTGTACAACCCCCCCCCCCTTTCAGAAATTCCTGGATCCGCCCCTGTTATTTGTTATCATCATGGCATTCATCTATGAAGTACATGTTAAATTTAAGTTTTCTATCGCAGTTAAGTTTTGATTTTGATTCTATGATGTTCGTTTTCCTCTGGTCAGTTAACTTTTGAGAACTTTTTTAAGTTTATCCAAGTCAATAAATTATTACCTTGACTAGGGATAAATTGAGAAAAAGGTAACTAACTCGAAGACAAGAAATCACATATACTTAAAATAATAATAAACAAAATAACTGAGATCAAACTACAACATAATCTGATCCCTGGCCCCAACCTCGACCCCGTTTGACTCAGAAGGCCGCGGGGATCTGAGGACAAAATGCTCTCCCTACCATACACAGTGACTTTTTTGTTGCCTTTCCAAAGGTGCGAGGCTCATCTATTTCTTACTTCATCGTGAGCAGCTTTTGCGAGAGAATAGCTGTCCTTCATTTTACTTTCTGAGACAAGAAACAGCCTAAAATGGTAGACATGCATCGTTGTGTGATGGAAAACTAACGATTCTTTCCTTGGAAGGATTAAAATATCAAGCTGACTTCTCATCCAACGAATGTCATCTTTGACCAGACTGCTGAAATCACCAAGAGAACTAGTTCACTTTTTGGTAAAAACACAGCCATGAACTGTATGCTTGTTTGAGTTGGTTCAGTCACTATGCCCACTTCTGTACGAATTGGCGAGGAGCAACTCAACCATTTGGCTTCACTAGCAAGACTTGACTACTCAATGAGCGGTCGTGTGTTTATGAAAAACCACGAAAACGCTGGAAAATGGCTGCAGCGCTGGGTTGCTCTGTACCAAAATTTTCTATTTTACTTTGAGAGTGAGGATTCAGCAAAACTTTCTGGAGTTATTTATTTGGAGCATTGCATCTGTGAGCGATTGTGTCTGACCAATCTGAAGGAGAGTGAAAACCAGGTAAGCTTTGTGAGCCCAAGGCATATTTCGAGATTTTGCATTTTCTGCTTCACTTCCTCGACACAAAAGATATTTCATTTTTACTGTTCCCCCATTTGTGAACGGTCTTTTTTCTTGTTCTCGATTTGTTTTTACTACAGAACCCTTTCATAATATTTTTGGCCTTAAAATAAAAATAAAAAAACTCATAAATTAAAATAAAACCTCTTGAAAGAGTGCCGAAGTGGTTTTGACCTTGCTTCAAAGTTAGCTTTTGCATGATCAGCTGACACCTTAATCACGAGTCGAGGAAAGACTTATTTCAGCAATTTTTGTACGCTATCTAAATATTTCCCTTCAAACCCCTTTTTAATATTACAGGAAATACAGAATTCAAGTATTGTGTGGGCGATGCATGTGATATGATGCGCACTTTTAGCTCCTGGCTAAATTTGTCAACATAATACAGATCAGCACACGAAATCAATTTAATAACAACTCTGCCATGAATATATTTATCTTTTGTGTCGTTCAGCTTGGTCGATCTTCATTTTACATTGAGTACCTAAGTTTTTCCCATTACTGCTTGTTTTATTTTATCCAAAGTCTTTTTCGAAACATTTTGCACACAAGAACGGTTTGACTAATTCTTTATTGACATTCGCAAATGGCTTCAAAACAAGAAGAGAGATAATTGCAATCGATTATTTATTATTCATACATAAAATGAACAAATATGCTTTTCGTCTCACTGTGAGGCCTTTGAGGTTGAATATATGTTGTTTTGGTTGCAGTGTGGTCTAAAAATTTGAATAAGAATCTAATGTGATGAACAGAGTCGATGTTTTTGGGAAGGAAATTTATTTGCAGAACCAATCGGCGAATTTCATAGGTTAATTATATAATCTCGCATTACTTTTTAGTTGTTTTTCAAGTCATGACTATAAGTTTCTTTTACCTGCCATGAAGCACATGTAGCACAATTGTGTAACTTTTTGCCAAATTGTTGATCTTCTTTTTACTGCTTAATAAGGCTGGCCAAAAAGTAGTTACCTGCAAGCAATTTAATTTGGTTGAGAACTGATAATGTCAAACCGTATGAGACGTTTTAGAATTTAACAACCATTGGTATTTACGTCTTGATCAGAACTTTGTATTTCAGTCTATATCATAGCTTGAGTGGGGTGTTTAGGCAAGCCTATATTCATTCATTCATTCATTAATATACAGTATTTATAAATGTTTTAATGTGAGGCAAGGTGACCTCTAGAAACCATCAGGTACTGGATTATCCAATTTCAATTATTGTCAGTTCAAATGATTATCAAGAGGATATTGTTACATAATTTAACAAAATTATCCCAGCTTGCACTTCACAAAATCTACAGACACCAGTATGGATGACTCGTGTAATGGCATAAGAGCATGAGCATTAATTCAAATTTAAGATCGTAGTTAAATTAATTTGACAATGACTTAAGAGCAGCTTCGCCTAAATATCAACTAGACTTGGAAATAGCGAAAAAATCGAATTTCTTCCAACTCGCCCAGAATGAAGCCCTACGGGCACTAGTTACAAAAATATTGTTTTAAGGTTACAGTATACCTTCGGGTCGGGAATTTTCTTCAAATTTGGATTTTTGGGTCAAAGTAGTGGTCGAAGAATGATCTCATATTTCCGAAAAAAATTTTTGAAAAAGGCTAAATATTGGCGGAGAAATGGCGATTTTACGTTTACGTCGGAAGTAAAAGTTTACCTCTTGATTGACAGCCCTATGGCGCGTATGCAATCAACCGAGACGATTTTCGCGGGAATTACCTGTATGGATGTCACG